TAGAATAGGGCCTAGGAAGCCTGCAGCAATGTTAACAGTGAGTTTTACATCAGAAGCACGAAAGGGGTGGGTGGGGGCAGGGAAGAGCTATTCTAAACACAATGAAGTCAATGAATGTTCCTTGTTAGTAAGTCTACTTCAGCTGCCACATTTCTCTAGAGAAAAAAGCATGCCAAGCGCTGTACAAATGCAAACAGTGAACAATTATTTTGGAAGGAAAGGGACTAATTGAGCAGCCCAAAGTAGCGAGAAGCCAGCAGAACCACAACTTCCAGACACTCCCAAACCCTGAAGTTGATGGTGCTCATGGCTAGTGGCTGCCGTTTAGGATCGAGGCACCCGTCACTTTGGATAGCTGCACCCCAAATGCCAGTATTTAAGATAGGATTGTTTCTGCACCTAAGAGCCAGGAGAGTCTTCCCTTGCGTCTCTACATCCACCCGTTAACCTCCAGAAGGGCGCTTAACTGGCATCAGTGCGAGTTTGGGGAATGAAGTGACAGGTACCAAGGTTCCATTAACTGATCGGATTTTTCTCGCGCACCCGCCACCCCCGCCTCTTTCCTCTCTCCTAGGTGTATATATTTAGCTAGCAGACACCCGGAGGGTTTTAAAAAGACTCCGAGTTCCCTCCTCCCACCATCATGCAGCAAATACGTTCAAGAACTGCTTGCAGCAGGGGAGCAACCGAGACTCTCATCTCTTTGGTTGATTACAGCCCTAAAACGGAGGACGTGTAATTTCAGTTCTCGCTCCAGATCTTGGGCTTGATTTCCAGGGGCCCACTTATCCGGGGGCGGGGGAAGGGAGGGGGAAGAGGCGCTGTAAGCTTTATTTGTCCTCGTCCCTATTAGCTATGCAGCCAATCTATCATTTCCGGCGGTGCTTCCATCTAATTACCGATGTATTTAGATGTGACGTGCAAAGAACTGCCGAGCTGCCTGCTTGGCTCTGCGTGGACTCCTCGTCGGGAACCTTTCCAGAGAGGGCTGGAGCGCCGGGAGTCTGAGCTCCAGACAAAGAGAAAAAAGCTGATCCGCGCTGCAGGGCAAATCCAACACAAATCAGCTTTCCCCAGAGCTGAGGAAGGGTCTGCGACCCGAGGCAGGACGGGGGGGACGGTTACTCGGAAGGGAAGAGCGTTTGTATTCTTCCGAGGTGGCTTGGCGCTGCCCTCGTCACCCCATTCCCCCTTCCCCGATCACAGAAAAAAAAAACATAAACCGAGACGTGCTAGCAAAGTCAGAACCACTATGTACCCTCTGAGACTTCGGGCAAGTCTAACGCGCCTCAAGGCATCGGTGGGTAAGTTTGTGCCTGGTTTGCTCCGTTTGTATGAAACAAATATAAGCAAGTAAGCCAGTCGGCCAGCCCAGCCCAGCCCAGCCCAGCAGTGTGAAACAAAGTCAGTCCTGACGGACGCGCTTCCCTACTTTCCAAACCCCACCCACCACCGCTGTTGAAGAAGAGAACTGGATTCGGCTTCGAAGGTTGTTTGCTCAGAGATCTTTGCCCGGAGAGCTCCTCTCTGCCTCGGCTTTGTCCTTTTAGGTCATACACAAGCGCGCGCGCACACACACCTCCGTCCTGGGGAAAAGCGAGCTCTTATTCTCCAGCTTGATCCTCCCTCCTCCACGTCTGGCTTGCCTTGTGTTCTTCTGTATTTGTCTGGCTCTGCACCACCAGGACACGGGGTTAAGCGCGCTCAGCGGAGTTCCCAAACAAGAGGAAACTTCTGGGAACGGAAGATTCTGGCACTCGCCTTGAAAAGGAGTGGGAAACTGATCTTTACGAGGCATTTAGATAACAACAGGGGTGAGCAACCCAAGGGTTGCACCACGGTCTGCCCTAAAGTAGGCACAGGATCGTAGCAGCTGACTAACCTGAAGCCTATTCCCTTAACGCACAAAAATCGAGTAAGGGCTCTGACCCGTGAAGGGTTAACAACACCCATCCTCAAGCACCGAATATCGTGGTGACCTTTTCCTCTGGGTCTCCCCAACACTCCCTTTCAGGCTCCGGTTTTTTCGCTCGGAGGGAGCCTGAACGGCTGTCTAGACCCATCTATCATAGGCGGCCGAAACAATACCGGGGGAAAAACCTCCTTCTCTTTCTCTGGATTGCTGTATCTCACCTTCGAGAAACCGACGAGGATTAAAGAAATTGTCCGCCTTGCCAGCCCCCAAAGACCATTCAGAATGTTAGAAAATGTCCACCTTCGTACCGGACAAATGGGATCTTTGCCTGCTCTTTTTTTAACACTCGCCAGAGACGCACCACACATTTCTGTTCCTATTCCGCAACCGAACGGGGAGAAGGCTGGGCTCATTCAGATATAATACAGCTAGTTAGTGAAGTGGGAAAGACTAGACTAGAATCTAGGCCTCCCAGGCACCGGGAAGTCTAATCATAGCCTCGAAAGGGCTTGGCCCACAGATCCAATGTTCTTGGGCTCACCATCCCTACTTCGAAACAAGATAGTTTCCACGGTGCGAACTAGAGGGCAAATTCTGCCACGGGTGGGGAACCTAGAGTGGCTTGCACCACTCTTTGTCAAGGATACTTCGAAGAAACTCGCAATTACCAATTCTGAGAACTCTCCTGAGTTTAAGCCAAGCTCGAGAGAGGGTGAGGGAGGAAAAAGATTAACCTCTTAAAATCAGTTAAGGGTTTTGTTCCCTTGTTCACGAGAAAACAAACCGACCACCTTTCAGGTCATCCACGCAAACGCATACACAGTTTGTAAAGGGTGGGTGCAAGGGGAGAACTGAGAGTGAGCACAATTCTCCTGGTCCTCTTTAGGCTGGAGCAGTTCCACTGCTCTTCTATAAGGGAAATGGTTTGAGGGTTATTATCCCTATCTTGAGGGCATCGCATCCCAGGACAAGCCTGCCGGCGCGACTACAATATTTCCAAAACGAAGTTGCCATAGAGAGCGAGCAAGCAAATGACAAATAGTGGTTAGAAATGGGGCGTAGCAGCATGAAAATAGGCGCGTGAGGGACAAGGGGACCCATTTGCCAAGGATGAATGTTAATGCCCTAGGACAGCTGCTTTTGACCTGTAGGCTCTGTCTCCAGTGCCCCAGAGAGAGGCTGTAAGGGCGTTTGGCGTCCTCCCACGTAAGGGGGGAGGGGAGAAGTCCCGCTCCTTATCTTGGTTGGCAGATAGTCTTCGAGGGGCCCTGCTCAGGGAGCCCTTTGCCCTGGGCCTCCTTCACAAGGAGCCAGGAGCAGGGAAAAGTTCAGAAAACCTTGACAGAGCTGGACTCGGCACAGGTCGCCTTCCGCCAGCGTCCTTTTCAGAGAAAGGAAACGCAAAGCCACGGGCTTCCTCGAAACAGACGGAAACCCCAAAGGGAGGATCGTTAGGAGAATAATGCGGAAACAGGCTCCTGGGCGATCGCCATTAAAATACAAGCACATATTTGGCCACAATCCTGCTGCGGTGGTAGGGCATTCCTCTCGACCCAGCCCTCCTCCCAGAGCCACCGACATACCTCGCTCTCGTGTGCCTGAGATGCAGCTAGCACGCCAGAAGCGGAAGGCGAGCGACGCGTCGCAAGTGAAAGATCGCCCCCGAAGCAGCTGGGCGAGAAGCAAAGGAACTACGTGCCTCAGACACGGTGCTCCGGCATCCCCGGAATTGACAGGGATGGGGGGAGGGGGATTGCAAAGAGCCTTGCTGCCCCTTTCTCTGCCCCACGGACTAGCAGACAACTTTTCAAGCTCTCCGAAGCCACAAGGAAGGTGCAACGGACCCGTGAAATCCCCAGCTGTTACGTTAGACCCCACGCTCGCCACACACATTCTTTGAACCGGAGTACCATTTCTAGAACATCCCCAGCCCAGTCCGCCAAATCGCGTCTCCAGTGGCCTCAAAAACCACCGGTGAAAAAACCTCCCACCACCTCCACAGGCCTTCTCAAAGAGCCCTTAGGAAAAACAAGCACACCCACCACACTGAGATACAGATACAGAAGTCTTTTCTCTCAATCACACATCGCTCTTCCGTTCCTGGCACTCATCTTTTTACTCCGCTGCCCGGCGAGCCATAAGGACGAGCCAAGAGGCTTTCCAGCAACACTTCCCGGGGCCCTGAGCTTCCTCGATCGAACTCTGAGCCTTTTTCCCCTCCACCCACTCTCCCCTTTCCCCTTGGGAGCCGAAAAGTGGCGGCTGCCAGAGGTGGGGCTTTTACAGCCCTTTCCAAATCGGAAAGATAAAAGAGAGCGAGACGCTCTAAGCTCTGCCTCCCTTCCCCCCCCCCCTTCCCTC